GGGGGTTGGTTGCGGGGTGGGGGGGCACAAAAATTCAACTTTGCCTGTGTTTGCAAAAATCCTAGCACCGGCCCTGAAAGTAGCCACCCTCCAGAAGGAAGGACAGTGTCTGCACCAATTCAGAGATGATTTGAGGATCTACAGCCGAGTGATACACAAATAAGATACCTTTTTGTTAATGGTTAGGGAACTTGAATGCATTTTAAGATTTAAATCCTGAGTTTAGAGTCACTTTACTGATAAAGCAACCAACATTCACCCAATGGGATTCCAGCTTCCAGAAGTAAGTTCAAGGATAACGGGTGATTACTGGCTGGTTACTATGGATTACTTCTTTAAAGGTCCAGTGGAATGAAAAAGTTCAAACGAAAAAGTTATATTTTATGGAAGAGCTACTAGTCATGCAGGGTAAAGTCTCTGCAACTCTATGAAATTGGGATATTTGATATCTGTAATTTTTCTGGACAGTTTTGTCTTGGCATTAAAAGACAATTTTACTTTCTAATAAATATGGTTTTTTTTATATCTTCTGATAAAATCCTAATACACTCACCTGGCCACCCATGAAGGCTGAATTGAAATCCTATTTTCATAAAGCATCTTTGCATAACATTTTTTAGGAAGGTACCAGAAAGAGCAGTGGTGATGTGCAATCTCATTTCAGTTCATCAGCTTTGATTAGGAAGGTCAATAAAACATTATTTGCAGTTGGTGGGTCTATTTAAATGACTTAATATAAATCTCAATTAAATTCTCGCTATTACTGTAATGCAGTCAGGCTGCATTCATATTAATAAGCATGTGGCTTCACTCTACTTATTTTCATTTTTTACTTTATTCTTCTAATTGCTGGAGCAAGGGCAAAATATTCTGGCAGCACATAGGAGAGGCAGACCGCTGCTTTCAACACAAAAGCCGGGGTCCGGCTCTCCTCCAAGCACTGCTCCAATCAACAGTGCTGTTCAGGAAGCAAGAGTCCTGTTGATTAGAGTAGGGTTCTGGAGGAGGTATTGTAAACTGGCAATTAGAATTCTCCCTTAACTCAACTATTAGTTTTGGATGGACTGACAGTAAACCTGCCCATAGACCTCGCGAATATCAGTCGATTTTCGCATGCGATCGCGTTTTCGTCCGATATTCGTACGGTTGATGGGCAGTGTACAACCGCAAATACTGTACAATCGATCGACTTTTGGCTAACCTGCAGGTTAGAAAACTTCGGTCAATCGTACGATTTTCCCAAGGTTGGTGGCGTTTCCGTACGTCAAAATTCATACGATACAAAAAAAAAATTCATACGATCTACACTGCACATGCGCAGACGAAAATACGTGCGGTCGATTACTGCAATTCCTCCAGGTGCTTTCTTCTAATTACCACTGATCCAACCTTGCGATAATTGGGGCAGGATGGGGCCGCCGTACGAAAATCGTATAACGGTTCGATCATCGGATGTAGAGTTTCGTCCGATGATTGCAAGGTGTATGGGCAGCTTAATGAAAGCTGGCTGGCTCAGATGTGGTAATACAGCCTCAATCATTGTGACAGCAAGCAGTCCATTTAGCTTTTTATTCTGTCGCCTGAAGGAGAGAAATCAATAGATTTTCCTCCATCCCGACTAAATATTTCTAATAGTGTATGGCCAGCTTTAGAAAGCACTGAAACCAGAGGGACAAGGTAAAAGCCAGGCAACTAGAATTTTTTTAATGGAGATCATCAGTGCCAGCCCCCCACATTTTACTCATGATAGATTCACTTTAGTACACCTGTAAGACTTGTAGTTACTGTTTATACAGCATTACTAATAGTGTGCTATTAATAATAATAAACATATTAGTCAATGTGTTTACATTACCAACTTGCACATTGATGTAAATCAAATTCTCTCTTTCATTTTCAGTTGAAGTGATAATAAAGTCAAAAGGCTTTTAGGGTATTTCAAATGCTGATTACATCTCTTACAATGGAGGCTGCTCCTTGATGTTAAGATGTGTTAGTTTCCAGAAGAATTAGCTGGTCCCCTGTGACTGGTCCTTTGGAACCACTACATTGTATGGTTGTGTCTCTACAACCATACAATGAACAGATGGTAAGTCACTCGCACTCCAATATAGCTTCCAGTCAATCTATTTATTGACTAAATGGTGCAACATTTCTACAACTATACAGCCACAGCAAGGCAAGACACTTCCCTGCTCCATGCCCACCGCTCTCCTCTTCAACTTCCTCCCTCTTCCTTTCTCTAGTCTAGTAGACAGCTGCTGGAGACTGCTCTGTCCCTTGTGATCTTGTACTAATGGTCATCTTTAAAGCGAGGACAAAGGAGCAGCTGCCCCGGACCCAGTCTTGTTGTGGGCCCCAAAGCAGCTGCCCCTAGTGCCTGCAAAAGATACTGTTTACTATGCAATCGGCATCACATAGTGTTGGTCAGCCCCTTCTGTACGCCGCGTAGCATGACATCTCATGCGGGGTCACGTCTCAAATGGGGCCATACCTCCCTCTGACATCTTCTTCTATCCAGGGGTGTCCTGATGCGTGGTGTCACTGTTACCTGCCAGCAGCCATCTTGGTGATGAACGCCGGCAGAGAGAGAGGAGGGGATGTTTACTAGGCAGGATAAAGTATGCCACTGGGTCCCCTCCTCTCTCGTACAGCTGTCAGGCACTTGGTCCATGTCACTGTCAGTCTTGCAATGCCTCATGGGACTTGTAGTTGCACAACATATGGAGGGCTGGACCACCCCTGTATTATGCACATCCAAGAGGTATCTGAATACAGAATCGTATGCACTGCCAGAACGCAGATTGTCTGCATTCTGGGCAGCACAAATTTACCTAAACACAATTCTGCTTGGCTGACCATTACATACAATTTGTGCACAGCTGTATCGATTATCAGCCTCTCATTGAAGCAAAGATTAAAGTCTAACATTAGAATTTACACTTACCTCCAGGAACTTCACTGCTTAAACCTTTGTGGAGTTTTACGTTAAGGATCACCATATTTGCCGGCGTATAAGGCGACTGGGCGTATAAGACGACCCCCTAATTTTTTTGCTAAAACATAGGTTTTGGGCTATACTCATCGTATAAGACGAGTTGAGCCCAAAATAATGTTTAAATACACCCACTAACCTACTTGCGCTATTCCCGAGTGTGGCTCGGGGGTTAATTTTCAGTACCATTACAGCGTAGCGTCGCTTACCTTGTCCACGATCCCCGCTATGTGCTCCGTCTTCCGGATTCCGTCCCTTGCGAGCGTCCGTGTCACAGGGGGGAGGGAGTTAACAAAAAAAAGGGGAAAAAAATCAGACCGCCATGGAGGCTAATCTGTCAGCCCGCTGGATGTGCGGTAATACCGTATGTGCGGTAGCTTCGGCTACATATAGTATACCGCGGCATACTGTATGTAGCCGAAGCTACTGTACATTCAGTATTACCGCACATCCAGCGGGCTGACAGATTAGATTGTATACTTGGCGTATAAGACGACCCCCTACTTTCGGGGGATGTTTTTAAGTATAAAAAGTCGTCTTATACGCCGGCAAATACGGTATGCTATATAAAGGGGCATTCATCATCAATTCACAGCGTTATCTTTTAAAGCCCTTAAGGATGTTCCAATAAATTGTGAAATATATATAAAAACATACAAACAAGTACAGCATGTTCAAGTATAAAATGCAGAAGGACAGCTGTCGTGAATAATAATGTACAGGCTGCACTTAAAGTACAACTGAAGCCAAACCTTTTTTTTTACAGAGTGGGAACAGATTACAACATCTGTCAGGTCATTATTGCTGTCTGTGTCCCTGTTATGGTGATTCACCCTCACTATTTGTCTTGGTGATCATTATCACTAAAAGGTGTTTTTGATTGTCACCCTAACTGGACCGGATGCAAAATCTTTCAATGGGGACACTTGTTCTGGTTACCCTGCTGACCATCATAGTTTTCCATATTTTGGAGAGATTTCGTCTCATTTCCTATTGTGGCAAACAAACAAACTGATAGATCTGTGGTAGCGTTTGACCAGTAGGAGTAGGACTTGGTTTTTATGTAAATCTAAATAATTTCCAATCAGGAAGCCGGGTGGTAGGTTATGACCCGCCTCCCAGCTTCCTGATTGGCTAGGAATCCAGCTTCCACATGTTGCTAAGCAGCCTGGCTTCCTAACCAATCAGGAAGGCGGGCGACAGCTAATGACCCACCGCCAGGCTG